GAGCAAAACCCTTCTCCTGCCACCAGAACCAGCCCCCCCTCCACATCAAACCATGACAGCTTCCATCTGAGCTGGCTGGACTTGGCCCAGGAATTCACAATCTCAGGACTTTTGCCATTTCTACATCTAGGTTTCTGTTCTGGGTAACGTATCATCATCTCAAGCTCTGGCTTCATTATCTTTGTGAAATCTTCTTACTATGTATCACGTACATTACAGAAAGACCTTCTAATACCAGACAGATCTAAAAAATAAAAAACGTTTGCAAAACGTTCTATACAATGCCAGCGCCATGATGCTTATTTCCAAACCATTGGTTCAACACAAGGACTGAACAGTAATCCAAGCACTCATTCCCATCTCTCCTCAGATTTATCATTCACGTTGGTGCTTCATACCTTTCACATATTGACCATAAACACAAGTTTACTGATGTTTTTATAACTTCAGCTTTATACTGATTCTTAACAACATCAAAGAAGGGAAAGCTAAACTGAGACATACCACATCCTTGTGAATTTGGGACTGCTTTCCCAGGAGACGAAGTTCTTCGAAACCCACTTCTACATCCTAGCTGCACACTTGGAGACAGATCAAACTCTTCATCCCGGGGAAAATCAATGAAAGAATCTGCCAGGAATTGCTTGGAGTCCAAATGTAGCACAAAACTACCATCTTTAATCTCTTTTATAAATGCTCCAATGAGATTTTCTCCAACAATTGCATTTTCTAAAGGGGGGGAAAAAAGGCAGCACAATAGCATGAAAGAAATTTCCAATATAGGAATGGATAACCACACAGAAACCGATGAACTTTTAAGTTAGAAACATTGGCAGATACAGATATACAAGCATGTTAGCAAACAGCAGACAAGAATGAATCTGTAGAGTGTCTATCAGATTTAAGTCCTAATCTAATATACGTAGAGTGTGCTAAAGAAACAGAAGAAAAAAAAATAATAACACCAACAAATAATGGCATATTCAAACACCTAAGCATCAGAGAACAAAATTTGATTTCTGAATTACAAAAATTCAGCAGATGAAAAGCAGGATTATCTGACATTCAGATTTAATTTATTCCAGTTCTTTTCAATTAGGATCATTCGCTTCTTTTTCAGCATTTTGTTGGTTTGTTTTTGAAGGCCAGCATCTGTAGCGATACAGTAATCACCTTCCATCACACTACTGATATTCAGCATATCCACCTACGCAACACACACACCCTTCACAATTGCTGAAGCTGGAATTTAAAGCTGGAAAATGGGGAGTACCTTTCCTACTCTCTAAATTCTTAGCTGCCCAGACAGCTTCCCTTTCAATGACTTGTGCAAGGACAATTTTCAGCGTTAGATCAAGAGCGAATTCCACAGTTTTGCTGGATCAGAAGTACTACAAGAACAGTGTTCCCAGCGGATCTTGTTTGCTATCACATTCTGTTTGTCCCTGAAGGCCTCATGGCATTGAATGAAACGTTGGAGTGGTTTATGGCTTCAAATTTGCAAGACAAGAGCCTCCTGTAGGTGATGGGCAGTCCAGTAACCCAGCAAATGGGAAGTTCTACACACTATATACTTTGAGTTTTGCAAGCACACCAAGGACCTTGGACATTGAATTTTCACAGGCAGGATGTTATATACATAAAGAGAGCGTGAGGAATGTTACAGCTCACACGCTGTGCAAAGATCATTATTTTGTGACGGATGTGTCCAAGGCAAACAGCTGAGGGTACCGCGGCCTTCTCACGCGGCAAGTTTCCTAACTTTGCACTGTAGCCCAGGGGTGGCTTTTCAGTTGTGTGAGGAGAGAATTTCACAGCCAGGTATGAGGCTCCGGTGACGCAGTGCTGCCCTCCTGCCCGTGCTGAAGAGACCACAGACATACGATGTTTTTTCTGAAAGATCATCCTAGACCTTGAATACTGAAAGCATAGGGTCCCTCTCTTCCTGAATGTTGGTCTGTAGACAAGTGCTGTCGTGTAGATGTTGTTTCCCCCTTTGCAGAGGAGGAACACGAAGTTTTTACACCTACGGGCTAAAGGTGAACAGACCCCGCACCAAAGCTGACAGCTGTGTCGTTGTATTCTCAATGACGGTTTTGTTTTCTCTTTGTATTCTCAATGCTCAGCTTTGAGCAACCTATCCTTCTGCTGCACTGACACATACTGTAATCAACAAAATAGCCCTTAGTTTTGCTCAACTTCAGGCCAAAATGATACTTAGCTCGCAAGAAAGTAATTGGAGAGTACCACATAACCAACAACACTTTGTAAATATTTTGCCAGAAATTGTCTCATAATTGAAAGCAGGAACAAGCGGATTAGACTTTTATTCAAGCAAATATCCTTCTGAATTGTCTAGTGACAAGCTGTAGCAGAATTAAAAATAACCTTGAAATGATAGCTGGAGGGAATTCACGTGTACAAAAGAAGCAAACAGTCAAACCAGTAGGAACTCACTTAGGTCTGTTGAATTTCCTTTACTCTAGAAAGTTTACCCGTGCTGAAAAGTTCTTAACCCTATCACTAAATGTGACTATGTATCCATGCATATATAGTATCCTTTACATTCAGAGTATATAAACAAGTGTTTAACTGTAGCATACATGTTCATACGCTGCAAGTAGACAGGTATGTCGTGGAATGTCTCAACAGAGAACAATTCAGTGTCTGATGGACATACCAGACATAGACTTGCTGGTAACATCTTACATGAGTTGCCTTGATCCAGTCTTCCCAGTGTGGCTGGTTAGCTTGGGGCCACACTTCCCTGCAGGACCAAGATGAGCTTCCCAGGATTATCAGCATGCTCTAAAGCATGGCAGATACAACAGGGCTTTCCTGGTTTTGCCCCTGCTTTGCTGCAGAATTTTGGCAATTCAAGCTACTATGCATCTCATACTTGTTAGATTTACTGGAAGTTCTTACTAAGCATCTCTCCAGAATCTGGTGTATCTTTAGGGACCTGGGCTTCTGGTGGGGACAATACGTCTTTTCACATTCAGAAATAGTCTGCAAATAGTTGCATTCTGTGTTATGCAGTGGGAAGAAGTCTGATTTAGGGCTTGCTCCTGTTGATTGAAACACTAATTTTAGTGTCAGAGGGATCATACTGTTACTTAGAGTTTATATTGTCCAATAAGAAAGTAAAAAAGTAAATTTGTTCCTTTTTTTTTTTTTTTTTTGGTAAGGAAAACACAGTGCACAAAGACAAGCTTAAAATATCAGTAAAAAGCAGGGATTGATTTCCTCCAGTCTCACAGACGGGAACTGCTTGCTATATGTTCATCCACCAAAAGCTCATTTTTTAATCATTAGTATTTTTGCCTGTTGAACAGAAAATAGAGAAGTTGCTGCAAGTGTTCCACACTATTTTAGAGCTGAGGCCTAAGCTACGAAGCCAAATGGCATAAGATCCTTCAGGAAGGGATTTGCACAGCCTCGAAATTTAATACATGAAAATATCTGGAAGAAAAAAGTAATGAAGCATTCATGAGTGATTTAGGTTTGAGGCTCTTCACAGGGAACTCATAGGGAACATATGCACTCTGCGCTGCTGTTTGGCAACTTTTCTCAGCTACTTCAAGAGCAAGACTTCTCATTTACTCGTAAAGAAGCTAGGAAAAGAATAAAGCTATTTTAGTGATGTAGATTTCGAATCAGAGAGCCAATTGCTCACTCTGTGTAAATGCATCAGAAAACACCTCAAATGGAAAGACCCAAAGCTGCCTTAGAAGGTAATGGAAGTTGATGGAGCCAAGAGGATATAGAGAGTAGGTTCCCAGTTCTCTGATCTCCCCACACTAGACTCATACTGCATCTTCTGAAACCATACAATCATTTCCTGAAAAGCAATTTAAGTACTACAGGGAAATTATAGTGTGGAGAGGGTAAAAAATGTAACGCCCTCAAAACAGAACATTTTCAAAAGTAAAGTTAAACATAAAACCAAACACACTTATACTTTGATCCATCTTCTGCAAACTGCTTGAATATTCGTGTTTCCCTTATAATCTGGAGCAACTGAACGAATATAAATGTAAACAGACTGTAAAACCAAGAACCACATGACCACTGCAGCCACTGTCTGCATCTTGAAGGCTTTAGAATTCAGTTCTGATCAGGCAAAAACTGCTGTAGGGAACACTTCTCCAAGTCTCAAAGATAGAGAGAACAACACATGCAGGCAGAGTTATTTCTACTTATTGCTGGCAACACCATTGCAAAGCAGTAAAACTGAAGAAAAGGTGGCACACAGGGCATTTGAACTTGGGATATGTCTTTTATGCCTTTTACTTTAAAAAGAAACATTGACTGTTTTGAAAGAAGTTCCTTACACCATCCCTAACTCACTTGGAAACCACAGTAAAGATCTGCCAATCAGTGGTTTCAGCATAATTGCTCTAGGACTTCTGAGGCAAGGGTCATTCTTTAGTGTCAAAGGTAAGGTAATAAATAGAAAAAGGAGTAAGAGAAAGGAAAAAAAAAAAAACAAACCAACAACCAAACTTGGAAGAAATTAGTTATACTTTTGGCAATGTGTGAATTGGGTTTCTCTGAGTCCAACCCAGTAAGGAACAAAATCTTTTCCACCACTGAGACCCTGCCTACTGGAAATTAACATCTGGGACAGATCAACTCATGCCCGATAAAGTAATTTTCAATCATCTCAGTTAAGGAAGCTGGGAGAGGCAGTCCTATTTAAAAGAAACATTCAATTACAGCTCCTTTCCACTGTGAAGTCGCAGCCTGAAAAGAGAAACACATCAATACCAAAAGCTCAAAACCACAACTCCAGTATTATAAAGACAGACTACTTCAGTGAGCACTTATAATGCCTTGTTAGTGCCTCCTAAGAGCAGACACAGGGAAGCAAAGCAATTAAAAGTAAAGTAAGTTTAATTCAAAGAAATATCAGAGTAAAAATAATTTACCAATATCATGTAAGTCAGGGAGAGAACCTGTTGGAATGTTTTCCAGCTGAGTCCTCCATGTGATGTTCACCCCAAGGCGGTCCTCACCCAGGCATTCAACATAGACAGTGGAATCATCACAGACAGGAACTGAGCCAGTATTTCCAAATGCATTTACCTCGAGTTCAAAATTAAATGAAACTACAGTTAGTCAACCTGAGAACCTTCTGGTTCTTGCCTTTCCCCATTCATTTGTACTGTGCTATGCTCAAAGGCAACATTTTCAAAATGTTCTGTAAAAACAGAAGTAGGAAAAGATAACTTCAGCAGGCCATTTACTCACTGTAAGAATACTCGAAACGTTCTTCTCCATCAAAACACATTTTTAATAAATATCAGGCTGATGGGATATGACTTCTATGGCTACAATTAAGCTGATCTGCCAATGTAGGGTCAGTGAGACTAAATATCCTATTTTCCCAGTCATCCATATGAGAGTGCTGCCAATCCTGACAGATTTCATGGCATGTTCTGCTTTTCCACCTCTCTCAAATAGGCAAAGTTCTACTTTGTCTCACCTTTTTTTTAAATACAAAAGAAACACCAATCAAACAAAACCAAAAACAAACCAAAAAATAACCCCAAACTCAACTACCTACAACAGAGAATAAGGAATTGAAATTACCTGGAGGTGACATAAACCACGAGCCTTCAACTCATCTAAAATGAATATCTGGAATGCCTGGAGTAATCCAGAGTAGTCAGAACTGCAAGTCTTCTCAGGAGGCAGCAGTAGTTGAAAGTGCGTTTGAGCTTGGACTGTCTGAAATAACTGGAGCTCTAAAAATTAAGTACAAAGAGCATTTAGTAGCCTTACTAATGTAGAAACTGACTTTCAAAGTTACTTTGAAAAGAGACAACATTGATTTGGCATTTTGATTTTGCATCAATAGCATGTCCCCATTTCTAGGTGAAAGCAGTAGAGTTAATCAATCATAGAATCATAGAATGGTTTGGGTTGGAAGGGACCTCAAATATCATCTAGTTCCAACCCTCCTGCAATGGGCAGGGAAACCCTCCACTACACCAGGTTGCCCAAAACCTCATCCAACCTGGCCTTGAACACTGCCAGGGATGGGGCATCTACAACTTCTCTGGGCAATCTGTTCCAGTGCCTCACTGCCCTCTGAGTGAAAAATTTCTTCCTTATATCTAATCTAAATCTCCCCTCTTTCAGTTTAAAGCCATTACCCGTTGTCCTATCACTACACGCCCTTGTAAAAAGTTCCTCTCCAGCTTTCCTGTAGGCCCCTTTTAAGTACTGGAAAGCTGTTATAAGATCACCCCGGAGCCTTCTCTTCTCCAGGCTGAACAGCCCCAGTTCTCTCAGCCTGTCTTCATAGCAGAGGTGCTCCAGCCCTCGGATCATCAGTTGTCAGTAGTAAATAATAAGCAGTAAGAGACATGCTTAAATCATATATATAATTCATATTCATAAATTCATATGTTGTCCACCAGGGAAAAAGCCAGGTGATATGGTTATGCAATAATAAGGAGATATTTTACACTGGAGCACTAAATCAGAGAAGGATAAGGAACAATCTGGATCATTAATATAACTTTTTACAAGCCTTGGCAGATAGGAATTTCCAGAGAACTAGATGAAAGCTGATGGTATGCCAATATTTAGAAGAGAAACAGGAAGACAGGAATTATTGACCTGTCAACCTTCGTTTCTCTTAGTCACAAACATGAAAAGATTTCTATTAAGAAAGGAATTAAATAGTTAAAGCAATTAATACTAATTCAAATGGGCTTTCAGAAACCTCGCTTGTCAAATTAGCTGGAGATCAAGTTTTAGGGGAGAATAAATTTGATTGTATAATAGTGGCACTGACATGGACCTCTACAAGGGCCTTCCAAATTTTTGATAGCGAACCAAAGTGACGCAAATCACACAAAGCTATCAGAAATTCGTGAATTCAGCCACAAAATGGATATCTATTTAGCCAGTTTCTAGCCAGAAAAAAAAAAAAGGTGCACATTTCTTGTCATCACTGGAGTTACGCTGATCCCAGGGTTTGTTATCTCAGATTCAAGGCAGTGGTCATGCTGTCATGCCACCTCCAAATGGAGCTGACTTATCACACCAGCCTGGACAAGTGGTAGAGCTCTCTCTCATTCACCTCCTCTACAGACCCTCACTGCAGCATGTACAAGTGCCACTGCTGCAGCACAATTCCCCGTCTCTCGCCCCAAAAGGAGCGTGGGAAAGCCTGGAGAGCATCCAAGGAGAATGGTGGGAGGGACCAGGGGACATAAAAGCCTGCTTCTTCCTGCAAGGCACAAAGCTCTCTATCTGTTTAGTTTATCAGAGACTACTGAAGAGCTGCCTTAACCACAATCTCTGAGTGTATACACAAAGAACAGGAAATAAGATTTTTAAGGGTGTGGGTAATTATTCATTGGAACAAATTGCTAGGTGTTGTGGTGAATTCTCTATTATCGAGAAATTTATTTGATCACCTTCAGAGGTGTTGGGAATTTTTTTCTCTCTCCTTAAAACCATGCTGTATTTCAAACACAAATTAGTGGGGCAAGTCCTTAGCTTGCATTAAATGGCAGCTCATATCAGATTGCCACACGCTCCCCTCTGGCCTTACAAACAGTTATTCAACTGCCGTCAGGTAAACATGGAAGTTGCTTTGTAACATGCTACAAAAACCCAGAAAACATGACTGCAGATAGACAAAAGTCTCGGTCTGAAATTTAAAATTCAAAATCATTTACATCTGGAATAGAAGACCTGGGTGACAACAGGAAATGCGTCAATACAGTAGTTTCCAGAATGGGTTTAACCCATTCTGGAGATGCAGAGTAGCTGCAAACTTGGCATTGAGATCTGCATTTCTCAAAGTTCAACGCTGCTACAAATCGCTGTTTTGATCAGCACGCATCTCTGTTTGAAATAATTGAAAAGGCCAACATTAATATCTAATTGCATGAGCTCTGAATAGACAACTGACTCTTCTAAGATTTAAAGTGCCATATTTTTCTTGAAAGAAAAATAGTTTGAAAATACCACAAGTCAGCCAACGAAGACAATAATAATTCTAAAGAATAGACTGCTGCAAAAAGATGCAGAAGTAACAGTGACTTGATTATGCAAATAAACAGTCAAATTCTGCCAAATTCAAACATCTGGTGCTCATCTGTTCTTCCAGGACTAACTGGTTCCATCAGAATCACTTCGTGGTGCCAGCATCTTTTAACTTGCAAAGAAAAATCTGCATATAGATTGAACGACTATTTATAGCGATACTGTTACAGAAAAGTGGGACTGTTTCTGGCGATGAACATGACAGAAGACAGGACTAATCTACTGCACCTTAATTTAGCAGCTCCTATATAACTGTTGTGTCCTATTATTGTCATTCACACAGTAGCTTCATGAAGAAAGTGTGTTTTTTGTACATCTATTGACGCCGCTCCGCACCCTTCCCAACCCACGGCAGTTCAGACATACTCTGGCAGGCCTGATGGAGCGGGGCAGCTGAGACCCATCGCCGCTGCTGCACATCACACTGAAATGACGTGCTGGAAGATGTGCTGTAGAAGCCCTGCCGACACACCAGCCAGCACTGCTGAACGCCTGGAGCTTCCTCAGAAGCATTGTCACAAAATACAGCTCCGTTGAAAACAGATGAGGCACCGAATGGCAGAGCACACTGCGGACCTTTGGGCACATGAGGAAGAGGATATATTAGTGGCATATTATGAAGCACTTCTAGTACAAAGTCCACACAACCCTCATATCAACGGAGAAAACCTAGACAGCACTCCGTGCGTTTCCCACTCATCTCAGCTTGGATCTGGTTTGATGTCAACATGGTTCAGTTTACTAAAGCTGGTGAAAAGACACATACTGACTTTCATGGGTAATGCCTTGGGTCCAGAAAACTACGTGCATGGTTTATAAGAACAGATAAGTTTAAAACAGTCATGAATAAATGTAAGCAGGAAATGAGAAGGAGGTTTCTAACCATCAGCAGAACAAACCTTTACAAAAGATATCCAGTGAAAACAGGCAGGGCTAAAAAAAACCCCAAAACCTACCACCTCAATTCCCTTTAGAGTGAAGTTTGAAAACTTTTAAGATCAGGAGCTTATGACTATGGTGTCTTCAACAGAACCAGAATGTTTCTGGTGATTCAGCAGGTCCTTAACAGTAGTATACAGTTTTGGAGTGAGAGCTCAAAGTCTATCCTACCAACTTACTCTGCATGGATACAGTCATTTCAACCCTGCTAGCCCACTGTAACAGACTATTATAGCAGGCTAACTACAATGATAATTAACTTCTACTAATCGGTACAAACCAACTGCTTCATTCAATATTAGCCAAATCCCAACCTAATTACTGACTATATCTAGTAATAATTAAACACTTCTTAGTCCTAGAGCTGCAAAACAGGAAGAAAAAACTAATTCCTCACTCAGAAATAAATATGAAGTAAAAGATGCTCTCATATCGTATAATTCACTTGCTTGGTGTATATATAGATCATTTTCCAAATTGCAATGCTCAGATCAGTCCCAAGCTGGAGGAAGCTGGAGTCTCAGCTGAAGTCACTGGAGGAAGGTAAACATTGCTGATGGTTCAGGCCTGAGCAGCCTCCCTCTCCCTTTCTGATGGAGATACGGAGATTAACTCCTTAGCTTAGCAGCCACTTCAGTTAAAGCTTAAAACATCACAGGATGAATCTGGGATCCAGTGCACAGTACATGTTTGTTTTCCAACCCTGAACATTCCAATGCCAAAATAAAAGGCTTTCATGTATGTCTCTCTGAATAGCCAAATGCATTTTTTCCAAGTGTCCTTTATAGAATCTTTTCCGCAATAACTCTATAAACGGGGCCACTACATTCCTCCTCTTCACTCACTGACTCTGTATCCAGTCTCTTTTTCAGTAAACGTAGAAACCTGGCATCCTTGCTTAATAAACTTTTAATAAATCTCCCGAGATTCTACGACCAAAAGATATGACTGTAAAAGAGACCGTAATACTTAGCCTGACCATTGTAAACTACATCCACCATTTTGAGTAAATTACATTAATGTCTCTTTATACAAAGTATATAAAATCTGTCTCTTTTCTCTATTGCTCTAACACATTCCTATATCCAGCCAGTCGAACCCAGTCTCAGCCGTATGCTACTAGAGTCTTTCACTGTCTTTTCCAGTGACAGTTGGTGTGTGAACTAGAGAAATAACCAGCTCCCAAAACAAAAGTCATGGATGGTTTCGTGGTGTGGTTCACAGGTTTCAGTTCACAATCAGTAACTTGTTCATTTAACCCTCTACAAAAACCATCTCATTTACTATCGTTGTCAAGCCTGCACCATTTCGTCATTCTACTGTTTCTGCCCCAATTTCTCAAGTGAATTAGAATCCAGCTGAACATTGACATTTCTTCATAGGTGTTTCCAAAGATTTTCATAAGGAAATACTGTCTCCAGGATCTTCTCTGGAAGGCTTTCTCTCCTCTATCCCCACTCAGAGCTGTGGAAAGTGGGCATGAGGATGGGAGATGTGTGAAGACTTCTGGGATACTTGGCTTCACCTCTTCAGTGTATGTCAACTAGAAAAAGTTGGATTCTACCTCTGATGGAAATGATTGAGCTAATGAAAACCTCATTGCATGCGCTGGGCACTGTGAAGTTATTACTTGCTGTTTACAGCTATCTGTTCTGATGTTGGAGAAGTTTATCATATTTTCCTACCACGACAGCTTCTTTTGCTGATAGACAAGATCTCCAAGATAGTGAGATAGTACTCCCTTCCCCTTTTCCTGAATAATAATTAGTAGTAGTTCCCAGGACTAAATGTATAAGGCTGGATAGAACGAGGGGAAAAATAAATTTTCTTCTTTATTCTTACATAATAACTAAGTTGTTTAGCATGAAAAAGTTCCATTGCTATTTCAAAATCCAGGAAAATCATTAAAGATTATTTCAATGGTATTTATATGCAGAAAATAACAAATAGCTTTCAATAAAGCCAGGTTTCCACTATATTTTCAGAGCAGTTCTCTCTCTTGGCGCAGTGTTTTAGAAAAGAAAGGTCATTAATCATTCAGTCAGTATTTCCTCTAGGAAAAGTACAGCATTACAGGATCCCAAAAAACATTGGATGTGCACGCAAAATGTAAAATCACCTTCAAGGCTGTCCTGGGGTATGCCTACACCCTCCTTAGAATGTATTCTATAAATTCTCTTGGAATTTAGGGGAAAATCTAGAAAATGAGCTTTCATGGAGAGAAGGAGATATCGAGGACTTAACAATTACAACTAGTTCTGACTTTTCTCTGGCCTATTAGAAACACTTCCACTTTTCCCTGTTCACCTTCAGAGCCTATGGGAAAGTCAATCCATACTCCTGAGTGCCGGGTGTCGTGCTGAGTTCCTCCAGCTGGTCCAAACAAAACAAATATCACAGAGCCCCACGTCCTACAGAGATATTAGCCCATAACCTGAAAGCAGGATGGCAGCAGCACTGTACTTGCTAGACTGATCAGTTCCACCTCTCTGAAGAGCTAGAAACCTGTACTAGGCTGCTAACTCACATAGCTATGTCACCCGAGCTCTGGAGCTCATCTTTTCAGAGCTCGGATGGGCATCTCTACACAACACTACACTGTATGGGGCAGATACAACCCTGGAGTCTCCTTGTGGCTTCTTATAAAATCTCATCCACATAGCTCTCTGTTGGTACAAAAAAGTTCAAAAAAAAAATTATATTGGTGGTGGTTTCCAAGTTGGCTAAGAAGCTATTTAGTTGATTGAAATGTCTTACAGCCAGTTGGGCTGACACAATCAGGTATTTTGTTGGTGAGTATGTGTTGCTTTTTACATAGCAAAATCACAAAAGAAAATGGAAGAAATTTCTTGTCATGTAGGCTCATTTTCCTAAATCTACCAACAGCTCTCATTTAAAAAACCCAACAGAAGCATGGAAACAGTAGTGTCCTGCAGGCACTAGTTGAAGGTTTTTCTTTTTACATCTCTAGTTTCCACTAGTCATTACACTTTGGAGCATAGCTTTGTAGAAAGTTTAATTTGTTTTGCTTCATTTCAGTGATAGGGAGATGTATAAAGGCTACTGAGAATTAAATTTACCCAAACGTCTCCCATTTGGACATTTCACTGGAAACCATGAGTGAATTCCAGTGCTTCGCAACTCTAGTTATGCAGGAAATACTCTGTGAATATGTAGTGTTTTGGCACATCCTTTTCACAACTCTAGTCACAAGCCAAGAGTAGGAATGGCAGAAGCAAACATTTTTCAAATTTTATTTCAGTCAGTTGAATGGGTTTTAATCCCAGAGCCAGCTCAGACTGGAACAGGTTCAAGTTTCAGCAAGTTGTTCAGATTGGCTTTTTAGCTAAGTTTAATAGCTCAACTGCTTGGATTTAACCAATTTTATGAATAAGGGAAGGTCAAAGATCCATTCCCTTCTCCTTTCTCCCTGACAAGGCACTTGAAGAAAACTGGACATTGTGCCCAGGTAGGTCTGAAAACTGCTATAACACAAAGACAAGCATACTGCTTGAGCAACAGTCTCTTTAAAGCTCTGAACAAAGAAGCCTAAATTCAACTAAATATTGGAAAAAGTTAGGATCTGGGTCAAGTCGCAGATCTGGACTTGCTCAGAAGCAAAGTGTCTCCAGCAGGAACTCACTTGCACATGCAGGTCTTCCTCCACTTACGCGTGTCCCTGGAACCTCTTCTCCATTGTAAAAGACACACCAGCAGCTCTCTTGATCCTGGCTGCACTGCACAGGTGAGAAAGGCCCGTTGTCCCCTTCGCATTGTGGGATGTAGCCTTTGCCAGCTTCTCGTAAACCAGTTTTAGACTTCAGCATATTACAGAGACTGGGGCCTTCAAAGAGAGAAATTCATTGCAAGATGCGGAACAGAAGACAACAAAACGATTATCTGCAGAAATGAACAATACGAATGTACAGAATTGTCCTAAAGACTTTAACAGCAGCACTTTCAGCCTGTTTCTGTATAAGGAAGAAAGATGAGTGATCATAAACCATAAATAATTTGAATCATTACAGAAATATGGAATTTTACTTCCACTAGAAAACGCATTTTTTCTAAAGATTAAAGTGCAGGTTATATGGATTTGCATCAATAAAATAGTGAAAGAAATACTGATATTTATTCTGCATTAACATCTCTTTTTTTGCCATAAATTTGGTAGTGTATCATTTAGATGCTGATATTTTAATTTTTTTTTTCAATTAATCTTTTTAATAAGAATTTTTGAGCACAGTCATTTTAAGTGTTACAATACAATTATTTACATTTTAAAATAGACAAAATGTCCAGCTTTAATACCTTTAAAATTGGAAAAAAAAACCCACAACATGGAACAGTAATATTTATCATCTTCCATAAACAAACAAAACAGGGACATGAGCATGCAGAATCACCTCCTGACAAGATGATCCAAAAAGTTCAATCTGAACTTGAGACTAAGTAGGTTCTTATTAATTTTGTTCATCTGCCAGTGTCAGAGTAAGCTTTTAAACCTGTGTAATGAATGATCACACAATTAATTCCTCAGATAAGTAACATGTAGTTACTTATCCCCCACCAGGCCTGTTGCACGTCTTCATGGACTTCTATCATTAGCCCATTTATAAGGAAAAGGAAGCAGACTTGCTGGGTCAGCTGGAAGTGCTATCTAACTCACTATCCTCTCTTGAGCAATTATGTACTCTATTACTGATATTCCAGGAGAAGGTTTGCCTAAAGCCAACAGATTATTCTCTCAAATTTTCTAAGGGAGATGGCAAGCAGAAAATCACTAGCTAAAGAACCAAAGAAACAAGCACAGCAGAACTGAAAGCCCTTGGGCTGCTTGTGTTGCTCAGAAAAGCAGAGCCAGGACACGGGCTCCAGCAGGACATCCCAGTTCCTGCAAGTAGGGATTCTTCAACTTTTTGGATCAACCATCTCCAATGAGACCTCAACAGTTCGCTGTCTTTATTTCAAGATAACACAAAGGTATTATAGACAGAATCGCACTCCAGTGGAGCAGTTGTAAAATGGACTTGCTGACTGCAAGTGGCTCAATTCCCACAGTTCAAGATTCACTGCCTTAGAAAACTCATCCACGAGCCCAAAGAATTTTCTACGGTGGTAAGAAATGGAAGGTAAAAAAAAGTGTAGAAGTCTGGGTTTGTTTGGGTTTTCTTCTACACTGGTTTATGTCTGGTGTTATGAAAGGAAAGGATAACTATTTTCAGATCCTCTTTCACTGTTGATGTGCTTGTATGTACCATATCACTGAGGAATTAAAATGTAAGCTCCTTTTGTTTCCTGGGCATCATTCCGAAAAGGAAAATACGTATGCTGCAAAGCACAAGGCACTGCCACTAGCATCACAAGCTGTGGGTAAAGCACTACTCACACTCAGGATTGCCATCCAAGCCTTTGCTGCCGCGCTGAAATACTTCTCCTGACACAGGATCTACACACCAAACATTTGTGTCGGATCTCTGTAGCACAGCGTACTCTCCTGTCTACAAAGAATCAATTACATGTCATTGCAGAGCAATATATATTAATACAGACACACCATGATCTATACCCCAAAGGTTGGTTAAAATATTTTATTATTTTTACATTTGTCTATTAATGCAACACTTCTTTGAAAAGAAATGCAAGATATTAAAATGCAGTCTATTTAATTTAATACATGGATCAGGCCCTGAGAGAAGCAGTATGCAGACTGAAAGCCCACTGAGATGAAGTTCTGGTACAATCTTGGGTTGAAATGTCTGTTCCTTGCCTGTCTCAGGGCTCTATTCTGCTCACTGGCGTGTTTGAAGAGCAACATGGACCCTACGTTGGGATACCTGCATCCAACTCCCTCTCATCCTGACATTCTCTCCCAGCTCAGGAAGAAAGAGTCCCCCAGATGTCAGTCAATTAAGTTGTGCCTTTTAAGCATATCCTTGCAAAAGGACCAGGCAGAGCCATCCTGTAGGAGAGACACGTAGGCAGGGACAGAGCTTCCTACTCCTGGTCTTCATCTCAAAACTGTTTAAATTCTGCCTTATGAAGGGCAACACCTGCTGTTAGTTTTGTCTTACCCTTTTCTTTCAGGTGAATAGGAATGCACAAGGGATGCTTAAGGAGCACAGACTGAAACTGCACGGGCTTTGGCACGGTGTAAGCGAAACTGGGGAGGTTTTGTTTCTTCCTCCCTCAGTTATGTAAAATCACCTCAAGGCAGTAGGGGACAAATAGATCAGCTGTAGAGGCATCCAGATTTGAACCACTCCGTCTCCAGCTGGAAATTAAGGCATTGGTTCGAGATCGCTGACATGATGTCTGGCCTGTAAGAGGGCAAACATACATACATGTTAAAGCAAAATCAAGTTCTCAAACCTAAGCTAGAGAAAGGCATACATCTCCAGCTCCTTCGCACGTCTCCATTAGGCTCTGCTAAAGGCTCAGGCAGGGAATTCCTGATTGGTGTTTGACAACCACAGAATCACAGGATGGTTGAAGTTGGAAGAGACCTCTGGAGACATCTGGTTGGACATCTGGTCCAACTCTCCTGCTCAAGCAGGGCCACCAATACTAGAGGGTCCATTTCCAAATCATGCAAGCCAAAATCACACATAGTGAAATGAAATGAATTGGCAAAACAAGCATAAAATTCCTTTTTATTTTCTTGCAATGGTAAGAAACAAGCCTTGCTTCATGCATATCATACTAGAATTTTCAATAAATATTAAAATTTGTAAGAACGGGTAAAGACAAATATTTTGAAAGAAAAACCAACTGACATTTGGGAAGTTCTGCTGAGCGTGAGACCAAGGAATCCATGACATAACGTCCTCTCTCATCCACGCACCAGCAATGACCTGGTCAGGGAAGAAAAGCAGCTTTATTTTAGATGTTGTACTGCAGTATGCTCTGTTGTGCACTGGGAAGATTTTCACCCCCAGCAGCACTACAGAATGTGGTCAGCAAAGCTAAGTCACAGTTAAATCTGCTATCCAGAGATAATACACCACACCTGAGAGCAGCAGTGAGAATGGAAACATAGCAGCTCTGGCAAGACTCTTCCATTGCAGTCCTGCAGCATATCATCTACTCCCAGTAATTTTGTATCATCCACAAACGTGCTGAGAGTGCACTCCATCTCATCAGCCTGGTCATTAATAAAGGCATTAAGCAATACCAGCACCCGAACCGACCCCCAAGGAACACTACTAGCAGTGAGCAACTGATTTTTGAGCCTCAATGTGTTGGCACTTGAGTCTCTCCAGTCAATTTTCCACCCATCTTGTAGATCACTTCACCTCTCTCCAGTTTGACTGTAGGAATAAAAGTTTTCCATCTTTTTATTAGAATTCTGCTTAGCTTTTCTTTGTTCAGACAGCCCAGAGTATCTGATTAGCAATCGCTCACCTGTGCTCTCATAGCACTGAGTTGGCTCCCAGTTTCCCAGGCCATCACACTGTGGGATGTAAGGGAGAAATCCCAGCTGTGTTGCTTCCCCAGCAGAAAGTTCTGAAGTAAAGTGATTCCGCCAGTGATTCCGCAAGACTTTAAAAGATAAGTAAAAGAAAGCTATTAGTGGCTAATACAAGATATTTTAAATGCACGTTTGCAAATACCTGAATGTTCCCCGTACTTTAGAAGGCAAATTTACAAATGCTGCAAGTACATAAAGGCTGGTAAGTGTCCAGATCTTATATATGCATCGTGTCATGCATATAAGACAACTGAAATCAGCTCTTAGGTTGGCAGGTTAATTACACTGATTAATTACACCTGCTGAGTTGCATCTGTTTTTCAACAAAGTTGAATTTGACATAGAATATTCTGACACAGATCCCGGGCATTAATCCATTTAATTAAGCTCTCATCTCTCTCTCACCTACCTGACTGTGCAGCCAGCTGGAGAGCATAGTCACTGCCTGATAACAGCTTTTCAGAGACCACCACCTCTGACTCATAGGGCTGAGCAGAACGTAGGAGGTCATTATCTGTGAGCTGTATTCCCTTTGCCATCAAGAAGCTCTCTCCAAAAGCGAAGTGGGAATGATTTGATGCAAGGATGAGCTGCTCTGCTTCCTCCATAAATTTCATGGCTTCCTGCTTAATACCTTCACATATACCAGGACCTGTGGAACCAGAGAGTATTTTAATGCCTTTCATCTAAATCTAGTACAGATTTGCATGTGAAAACTAGCTGGTCATTTAATTAGCATCTGCTGTTTCCTTCTTCACTCACTTGGTTTTGAATTGTACAATGAAGCAAGTAAACAAACAAGATTAGTCAATGCTTAGCTATATAACAGCCAGAGTCCAAGAGTACCAGGAATCACCCAAACGTTCTCCAAGTCTTGAGCCAAAGCCTAGATGATTTTAAGTTACCTCCTCCTCATTGGTGACAAACAGACTTAATATGTCTCTACAGAACAGTCCTTCAGTTGTTGTCATTAAAAAAAGTGGATAATCATGTTGTCTAGCCATGGAAAAGTTACAGATTTAAGTCAAGGTTTGCTTGAATCTGCTAAGACTTAAGTTAGCAGCCTGCTTTGCACGTCCGCAGTAGCCTGTTTGCATGTACTTAGATAAAGCAAATATGAACATAATGTTTGAAACCAGGATGATCACCCTTGAATTGTCAAGTCATCCTTAAGAGAAGAACATCCTGGAAAATATGTACTGACAAAAAAATGTACTAGACATTGTTTCTTTTGAGATAATGAGGGATAGCGGATATGTCAAGAGAAGGACACATGTCCTTGTAAGACCAAAACATCTGGTAAGTGTTAATGACTCTGCTAGCCATTAATCACTAAAGAAAGAGCCAAAGCAAGGACTTCAAAGACTGATAAGGAAAATATCTTGTTATGAGAAAAGGTTAACAAGATTGGAAGAACACCACAAATACTAAGTCAGCAAGAAACAGCAGTAACTGGGGGAGAGGTAATTCCGTCAGGGGGAGATCATGACCACCGACTCACGGACCACCCACCCTAAACATATCCAGACCCAAAGGAAAGGGGCAAAGGCAAAGGACTCAGCATGCGAACTAATTCACATGCTAGGAGAGAAAATTAACCAATTGTTTACAAGAAAAACACTGAATATGTAAATATGCTAATACATACTGTATAAATGTTCACTGAATTTTGGAAGGTGTGTGCCGTCTTGGGACAGGCACCTAAACTTGCACAACTTTGTAGTGAAGCAATATTTTGGCTCAGTGTGTGGATTGGCTCCTTGCACACCAGGCAAATGAACCCTGATTTTGGGAAAACAATCAGAAGATACTGAGAAAGGAAAATGAAGGTATATCCCTTGGGTCTAGCGTGGTAGCTGACACTTGGTCTATCCTCTCCATACATCTACTGACTCAGAAACAGCAATTCAACACACAGAACCAGCTCAGTGAAAGCTTCTCCACTAAAATAACTCTCTGTTTATTGCTTCATCCCCTTTATTCTTTTTTTGCCCACAGAACTGGCACCTCTGGCACTCCTTGCCCATTTGGAAGTTTGCCATGCTTCCTTCCAGCTGGAAAAATACTATGTGATGAGAATGGTTTTAGTGACTGCATTTACGCAGATCATCTGCTGAAGTAACCTCAAAGAAGGCCCAGCAGCTTTGGTGGAGGTGTCCAGACAGAGAGCTTACCAAACTTCAGTGCTGGCCTCACTGTTCTCCTACTGACTTCTAGGGGATATCGGTTACTCTTGACTGCATAGTAAGAAACAGTAAAGAAAATTCCTTTTGCCTCATTTTAAGGCACTCTTGAAAGTAATTTACACCACAGTATAATCCTGGATTTTCCAAACACCTCTTCACCCACTGTTTCTAACTTCAAAGGGTCCTTTGCCATCTGGCTATATGTATTTTCTGCAAAAGCATTATATGTCCAAATTCCAGATTATAAAATTTACACAAATTTGATATGGAACTTTATTCCTCCTTATTCCCAAAGCTGAGACACCACTTATTTATCAAAAATGAGTCACCCCACCTCTGGTGGCCAGTGACAATGGCAGTATTGATGATCTTTCCAACAAGTGCATTGTCTCCTAATTTGCAGCACTTGAAAGGACTTTCCTCTTGTGGCATAAAAACAAAGGCCAGAAACATTGCTACTTATGTGCCAGAAATTCTGTTACTTACATGCTGGGACCTGGTTCACTTCTGCCTTTGTTCCTTGCAGCTCTTCTCCTTTGCTATCAACACACCAACAATCACGAAGTTCAAAATGGCTTAGAGGAGTGCTGAAATCAGTATAGGGTCCTGGGTAATAGGTCAACTGCTCATTCAGAAGCTGCCAGAACATATATGGATCCAGTAAAATGTTCTCGGATGCATCAGTCACATTTCCTTCCATCACTTCAGGTGGGAGATCAGTGAAGGAGGAATACATGGTGAATGCTGGGAAGACATTTTGGTGCCCAGCCTCATACAAAGCTTTAACAAAAGCTGAAAAACCTTCAGAGGATGCCTCTTTATATCCAATTATGATGTTCAATAGATCAGCAAGGGGCAGGGTTTTGCCTTCATTGTTCTCTGCAATCCACCTTTCGTACCACTCAAAGGCTTGCTCGGGAGGACCACTGCACTGCACCTGCCTCCAGGCACCGTCACCATCGCACTGCGGGAGGTAAACGCTGGAGAGCTGAGACACAGCGCTTGGATCTGACAACAAGAGTTTCACAGCCTTTAGAAACTCCTGACCAGCTGTCACTTGGCAAGCACTTGGGCCTGGGGAAAAGAAAAACATTCATAGCAAGTCTTATGGATGCACTGAAGACATACAATACCTCCTACTCCCCTAGTACTATAAACACCATTACTAAAACTCGGTCACTTATCCCAATACTAACAACATTTCTGGCCTGTTATTAAGAGGGCTAATGCTCTTAAGCTTCTATGCTGAATCAGGTGAGATTTCCAAATGTGTGTGAGCACTGAAAGATGCACATAGCTATCATTTTTAAAAATATCTGAGCACATTATGTGACTGAAGTTCTGACTGGGGGGAGTAGGTGCTTCATGCCACTAAATGCCTTCCTGAGACTGTTAACATCAACCAGGCATTTTCAGATACACTTGATAATCTGGCAGTTAATTCTTATGTAAAAGCAACCATCTGAACAGTAGGATAACACTGTTAATAATAATATTTATTTATTATGTTAATATTTCCCTTTGGACCTAACCAGAATTTTCAGATTCTGTTGTCCTCTCTTCTTATTCTCTACTGAATATTGCAGCTGAATATAAAAATACCATCCTTCAAAATTCTGGAGTGATTTTTTCTTGGAAGCCTTCTCTGCCATCTCCAGAGCCAAATTTATTTTGCCACCAAGTCGCTCTACAAACATAGCAAAACATGGGAGCTCATCTCTTTTTAGCACCATAGAACTTGTTTATTTTTGATTGCATTTCAGATGAGTTGTTAGATATAAATCCCCTACCAATTCAGGTCATTGCAATAAATTCCCCACTACTTCTGCAAAACTGCTATTCCAAGGAGCTCCTTCACTATGTACCACTATCATCTGCTGGATATTCTGCTATTCTTTCCAAGATGAGAAGTAGGCTTTTCTCTTGGTCTGTCCTTCCACTGATGTGTCATTTTCATTTCATAGGAAAATGAAATACAAATACAGCCTATATGCTTCCTTCTTCCTTTGTTTTACATTAATAGAAGGGCAGGAAGAGGCAGTTCATAGTCTACAAACAAGTTGAAATGCCAAAGTGATATCTGACAAGTCATTTGCAACTCACTTTTTTGGCCTGACTGCATGACTTTTATGAGAAATCTATTAGTTTTTGAATCCCTCTCCTACGTTTGGACTCCTCTGACATCTTACCAAGTTGTGGGTATATTCTTGAGCTAAAAGACTAAAAGAAGTTCATGGCTTAAGGCACTGAAGCTCTTCAGTTCTCAATACGAGGATGGGCCAGTGATCGTGCCCCCAAGTGACGTCATCCTGGAAGTAAAAGGGCTTCTTCACTTGGCACGGGTCACATTCAGTTACACAGATGCTCCAGCTCTCATGGGCATCACAGTCGTTACACACACCAGCTACACGCTTAAGCAGAGGCAGAGGCCAATGACTTGCTCATTAACACGGCAAGACTTCAGGCTCCTCTGTTTTGAGTTTGCCTACCCTGACCCATTGAAAGAAGAAGAATTTAAGACTTAGGATAACAAGGTTTATGTACACTGTATTTCCCACTATTCCCCTGCAACTGTAGGGCTGACTTGCTTTCCTTTTAGAGGACAATATTGTTTGTATACATCATCCATACATTTCCAGATATAACCAGATACAAAAAAGAAACCTGAAATTCCAACACAATAAGGAAGTGTCTTTAAATTCCCAGTCCCTAGGACTTACATTTCATTGGCTTTCCAGCTTTTTCCCTTAGTCCTGGAATAGTCTTGCCACTCATATCAACACAGAAGCAATTCGTTCCATAACACTGGAGTGGCAGATAGTCTCCATCCTTTGTACAAGAGGGAATAAAAAGATCTGATCCCGCAGACAGGCTTTGCTTCAAGTTTTGCAGGTCTCTCCTTTGCTTCTCACAATCAGTGGGACACCTTGGACGTTTGCCTTGAACTCTTGAGCCTGGAACTTCCTTACCTGAAGAGTCCAAACACCAGCACTCTCCTGCATAGCACTGAACTTCCTCATACCTCCCCTCCTTGGTGCACGTTGGAACAAACAGGTCCTTTGGCTCCTCGCCACAGTCTTTGGATCCCAATGCTATTTTCACTACTTCACCTAAATCTTCAGCAACGCTTTTGGGGACAGAAATCACTTGTTGAAGAAAAGTAAAGAACTCTGGTAGTTCCAGAACAGAGGAAAGGAATTTCATCACATTCTGATTGTCCTGTAGAGCTACTGTGCGGCCAAAGCTGCCTACAAGAGGTTTACTCAAAATAGAGCTCCCCTTTGATACCTCCAATGAAAATGCCTCAGCTGATTCCAGAAGGCCTTGGCTATTATCCCTTTCTGCTACATCCTCCTGTGAGAAAAATTGGCCAATGCTGTATTTCCCACTAGTGCCAAGTGCCCCTGTGAAGTTAAACTGGATCAAATTCTTGAAGAACCTTCCTCCAAAGAGGTTTTCTTGGAAACGTTTTGGATTGGCAGTAAATCGCAGCGCCACTTGAGCCAGTTCCCTTGAGGGGAACATCCCCGTGATGGCTTCGCTAAGAGTCATTTCTAGCCCAGGAATCTGGCTGACATATGGGCTTTGTGTAACTGGGGATGACAATCCAGAGTCCAGAAATAGCTCCTTGAAGGAGGGAGGGCAGGGTCTTGAGAAGCCAACTATTTTTTCTGACTGCATATCTGGTGTGGAAAACAAATTGAGCTGACCGAAGTACCCAGCAGGGCCATAAAAGATCCTCGACAAGGCCCGTCGTCTCTCAGAGATGCACGCTTGTTCTTCATCTAGACAAAGATTTTTAAAAAAAAAAAATCAAATTTTGGAACTTTCAAAACTTGTAACTCTATGGCTATCTTTCAATCAGTCTCAGCAGAAACCAGCTAAAAGCACAATTTAACCTGTCTCTAGATCCTCAACTACACATCACACACATTGATAATGAAATTTGAACTGCTGTTGCATACGGTCTGTAAATAAAATTATCTAGTCAAGATACAGAGTGAAAGGAAACATTCCTTCACAATGTCTGAGCTGTCTGCTCTGTAGTCTTTTTCTGGTTCTTTTGTTTCCCAGAGTAAATCTTCATTCCTGTTCCTATTCCTGCTTCTAATGAAAAACTCTGATGATCCAGGCACAATATTTGAACCCAAGAAAGAGAAATAGACTGCAGAAAACCAGAAAGTTATTTTAACCAATGCCCGCTAATGAGGAATTTATGGGGCTTCCTATATAGATCTTCAGTTTCATAGTGAAGCATTCATTACAAAAGATTTGAAAACAAACTATTAAAATTATAGAATACTAAGGACCAGAGGGCATTCACAGTAGAGTTCTAGAGGGAAAAAAATTAAAAATTTAACAAAAATAGTCAAATTTCAGGGTACCGAAAGGTACCAACAGTGGTCCTGGCCACCCACATCCTGGGCCAAGCTATATCATAGATGTGTCTGCATCCAGACCCTTCTGTATGTTCGCAGACAGCAATGCCTCCAAGTTAGGATGCAACACATCACTGAAGAAGGATGTCTGAAAATGTCAGCTTAAGGCTCAAAAGACATGAAAAAAGGAAAGACTTCGTAGATATGAAGACATTGAGAATCAAACAGACAGCATGGTTATGGCACTGACTGGATCTCTGGAGTGCATGCAGCAGCTTGAATAATGTGCCACACAGTTACTTTTCCTTGAAAAGCTGCAGAATTATAGAGAAGAGATGTGAAAGTGGCAGAATTATAGAGAAGGGATGCAAAAATACTTTGAGGACGGAACAGTTCTTCCAGTAGGAGAGACTATTCAGCTTGGACAGAAAAAAAATCTGATAAAGGTTTTTAAAAACCAGGATTCTCCATTTCATTTGTAATAGAAAATTATTATTCAGTATTTCTCACAGTACAGGAATTAGAATGGTCCAGAAATAGAGCACATATAATTATGATCATGAAATTTATTGCCAGAGGATGCTAGGAAGGATAAAAGGTTAAAGAGCAATTAGGCAAATCCCTGTAAGATGACTCCATAGGGGACTGCAGAACACAATGATCTGGGTTCAGCCTCCAGTCTGGGGCCTCCCTAGCCTGCAGGAACCAGAGAGGATATATGGAGGCTATAGGCATTTCCCACATTTCTCATGCTTTCTCTGTCTTTGGACAGGATGGTGGATAAACAGCGTTGGTCTGCTCCAGTATGGCCTCCCTGCCCCATTCCCATTTATTCCACATTCAAGCAATATGATAAAGCAGTCATAAATCCTGTTAACAGTACGGATAAAAGCTGGAAATCTTAAAAGCTGCTAGAATAGATTAGGAAGTAATTTGGGGCTCTGCGATCAGCATCTTTCCCACTCCTCCTTTCACACCCTTGTCCTGCTCTGCAGCTCCTGGCAGAGGCTCAGGGTCTCTCACAGTGGTCCCTTTGTAAAGGCATTTTCTGAAGGATGGGCCCCTTCTGTTTTCAGTGTTGGCTTTTGCTAAGAGGGATGAAGAACATTCCTCTGGGGACCAATAAGTTAGTGTAAGCCACAATCCCGTGAGTATGCTAATATGAAACAAATGTAGGATCCTGGTCTTTAAACGCTCTCCCCTCCTACCCACTGTTGAATCAAATCAAAGCAGAGTGAGAAAGAATAAACAGAAAAGCATTGCTGGGGTGAATTTACTGTAAAGTTCTGAAAAGGAGCATGTCCCTATCGGAACTGCCTGATGCCCCAGGTCATTCGAGTACTCCTCCAGCGTTTACACTGCTGTGTGTGAGAGTCAAAGATATTAAAGAGAAATAAAACAGAGCAGAACTGGAGACACACACATGGCATGTGGCTGCTGAACACAGACTGCAGCTATATTCTTATGAAATACCTTCTCGGGAGTCAGTCTGTTAAACCTCTGCAGAAATTTTTCCCTGTTTAAATTTCCTGAGTCTGCCAATAAAAGCTACGAGGAGCCCCAAGTCATTGCCTCCCCGCAAAACAAACAAAAAAAAAAAAAAAAAAAAAAAATTCAGGAGGACTCAGTAAAGCACATTTTAAGAGAAAACAACCAGTCCCAACATATGGCGAGGCCTCTCAAAGGTTTCCTTGCAATATCCTTGGTGATCAGCCTCGGAGGCACGCTAACATTTTCATTTCACAGCAAGCCTGTCTGTGCCCAGAGCACTCTGAGCGACTCGGAGCCGTGACACCCAGGGTAGATTCATAGAATCATAGAATCATAGAATGGTTAGGGTTGGAAGGGACCTTAAAGATTCCACCTTCTCTATCTGCCTGGTAAGACTGTGTCTCGCAGACAGAGCAACTACCTTCTCCGAAGGCGGCCGCCGCGTTAAGACCTTGTGCTCCCCCAGCCCTCCAGCACAATCCTGAATATTTAGGTACCGCGCTTCAGAGCGAAGGTTTTTAAACTTTCCTCCTCCCCTCCGGCCCTTTGACATTTCTACTGTCGTTTCCATTTGGGGCACTGGTTTGATGGTATATTCTTCGTGAAATCTCTCAAAGCCCAAACTCATACACCTTTTCTGAATTATTTGGGTGTGTTTTTACCGGATTTGGCAACTTGCACGGCCAAATACGCAGTGACAGAGATAGGGAAAAAAATTCTTGGGGTGAGAAATGCCTTAGAAATTCCATAGCATTTCACCAAAGGAAGGAGGTAAAACCCAAAAGCATCATCACTGGCTTCCTGATATTATTCCAGATATTCTGACTTAACACCCCAGCTCCTGGAGTCAAGCGACAGGTATTACAGCTGCAAAGAGAAGTCTTGCCATACGCAAAACTAAAAGCCTAAAGAAAGGTTGTAAAGGAAAATAAAAGGAATATAATATTTAATAGCTTATTAGAATGTGGCTTTTAACCCCAGAGAGTGTTTTGGATCTCAGTTTTTGAACACCAGAATCTGCCAGAGCCAAGAAGGGAACTGGTCCTTCAGGTTCCTTTCTAAAGACACTAAGAGATGTGCTCGTTCTCCCTTTTCCAAACCTCACGCATACCACAGGCCGGGGGCTGTCCTCGTCTCTTTGTGCCCTGCACCTCCTGCCCTTTGGCGTCCACACACCAGCACTGTCCTCCCTGCTGGCACTGCACTGGTGCGTAGCTCCCATCGGCAGCACAAGACGGCACGTAGGCGTGCTGGTAACGCTGGGCTGCGGACCGCTCGACCTCACACTTTGAGGGGCCTGGAAATAGAACAGTACTCATTAAGGCGGGAAAGCTTAAAGTTTCAGAACCAGCTCTGCTTGATCCCACTGCTTGTTTTCAGTGACACTTTAAGTATCAGCCCAACACGCGAATCCTCCATCCTCTTTTCCCCTGGAGAATTGGCCCCAGGGTTTTCTACTGTAGGTATGTGTTTCTGAAAACTGAACAGAAGATAAAGCCTCAACGCATTTTTCAGCCATATTTGCGGGCAGGCAGAGCAGCAGCATCTCTCGCAGGGAGCCGTGCTGGAGGCTAGGAGAGCTCTGGCATCTAATGCCAACACAAAGCTGGTCAACAGAGATAAATGTGCAGCTTGGGAGATTGAAATGAAGGCAAACATCAGTGCTCCTGAAGAGAACGAGGCATTGCTCCTGCAAAAAGATTTGCAGTTTTATGTGGAGATTTAGTCTGGGACCGTCCAATATCTTTTTTTCCCTCCACAGGGATCTGAAGACTCTATTCCTGTCAAACTGGCCTTAATGGCAGAGAAGCCAAAACTCCATAATGCGTATTTTCTGAGTTATGATCTCTCCAATACGAGACTCCACCCTTCCAACGGAAATTTTGCTTGGTTGTATAAACGTGCAACCCTACAGCCTAAACATTTCTCACCTTCATGAGCTTTCCAGCCACACTCAGGTACCAGGTTGAGGCAGCAAGAACATCACATCAGGCCAACCTGTTCACCAAGGCTGACAACTTTGCTAACGCCTGTGGCTTCTGGCGGCGGTGCGAGATCTGGGTACGGCACCAAAGCCGTCCTCAGCGGCTGAGGAACGTGGTCACATCTCCACCTTGTGGCTGTCAGAGCTCCATCGCTGCTGAGAGCCGCTGCATCCCCAGCTGCAGTCTGAGCTTGTTGCACAACACTGTGCAGTGGGAGGGGGAAGATGCTTTCCAGACTCCCCAGAATTACCAGCTCGTCTCAGAAATAGAAAAACCGTGTGACTATGTGGCCGGAAGACTTACATCAGTATCTGCTTCACATCTCGGGTGATGCAACTCCTTAGCCAGCATCAGACAGCAATGTCAGAGGAATTTGAATGGGAGGATGAAGGATCACATCAGGGGGTTTGAACTCCCCCCCCAACCAATGCAATACTTTTGGGATCTCGTGTAGGAGAGAGAAGGAGGTACTTGACCTCCTGCCTCTCAGAGTTCACTTCCTGTAGGCAGAGAAGCTCTGTCCCCATTTGCCTGACCCGACCAGGAAGGAATGGACTCGAAGGCAGATCCAGAAGTTCAGCCTTGCTGGCTAAGGCACTACAAACTGTTATGAAGCCTCCTGGGAATCGAGTGTGCTGTGGCCACTGTAAGATCCTTCCAATTTCTAAGTGTACCATCATAAATCAGGGAGAATTTTTTCAAGCTTTTGATTTAATAAATCATCAGATCCATCTCCATAATCTCAAGGCAAGAGATATGGAGAGTTCATGGGATTTCAACTAATGCAAACTTCAAGCGCGTGGGAAAGCATTGATCAGAGGACAAGTACAATCAGCTGGTAAGAATGTGCAGTCCAGAGGTTAAAAGCCAGCTGCAATTCGGGGACCTTGATTCTTGCACTGAAACTTTGATATTATATGCTTTTACTGAAGAGACTCCCAGAACAACTCTCCCCAATGGCAGCTGTCACATATAAGCTCCAAAATTATCACCTTATTTACAGGGCATCACCCGGGTGCTACTTACATCTGAACTTGCCAGAGGTAGCTAGCTGAACCCCCAGAAACCGCCTCTGCAGGATCCGATAGATGCTGGTCTCCGTGAACGTGCGAGCAGGCTCCAGGGCAGAGAAAACTGTGTCGTAAACTTCATCGAGCAGCAGTTCCAAGCCTGGGGAAGAAAGACTTCTAGCACAGAGCCTGATTTTAAGACAAAAGTCACCTGCTTTACACCAGGTAGCCTATCAGGAGGAAGAAAACTCATCCTCTAAACAGGCCAAATGTGAACTTACACTGCATAACCCTAATGGTCTACACCATGCACCCCACTGCTAAGTGCCCGGTCGTTAGCTTTATGCCTTGACATCTACCAGAATGAGCAGGAGCAATATCCAGCATCTGGCACTGTGCTGTGGTTTTGTTGTGTTCCATTGGCAGTAGAAAAAGCGGTGGTTTTGGGAGCCAATGTTTCTAAAAACTAATTCCTAATCATCTTGGTTGTATACATGAAGTAAATGAAAAGACTTGCAGTAGTTTCTCTGAGTGCACAAATTTTTGGAGAACTGCTCACCATGGTGGGAATTAAATGCTGGAATTCTCATTTACCATCTAAATTTTAAGTTATCACACCTTGCATTTTTCAGAGATTTATTTAAAAAAACAAAACAAAACACAACTCTATATCTGAGGCAGAGGAGCTGGAAGTTCTCAATCTTCTCATTCTTCCATCTTGGAAAAAACATTCTTCTAAAGTGTCCCATCAACTATTAACATGCCTAAAAGGTATTCTGAGGCTACAAGAGAAAAGGAAGGACCATATGATGTCCACGGCAGTGGCCTTGGACTAGATGATCTTTAAAGGTCTCTTCTAACAAACCATTTCATGGTTCTACCCGAGCAAGAAAAAAATAGTTTGATCTCCAGGCTTTTTATATTCCCTTGGCTTTGCTAATCGGACTTATCAAATATGACACAGCCTTCTAGTGTGAGCAGAAGTTGGACCTTGAGAAATCCTATTCCACCATCTCAGAAAGGACAGGATTAGCTCCTGGTCAGCACCTCCACTTGCTACTGACTGAAGTGGTGCTCCTAAGGGTAGGATTTCACCAGTGAGCTCCAGCCTTTCCCACGGGCACTACACTGGTCACAGAGGTCATACCCCTTGTAAGGAAGAAATTGAAGTCCTAAATGAAGCTGAAGACTGATGCTCGTTATTTGTCCTTTCCCTTGGGAATTCAAAGCCACTCAAGTTAAAGGATCAGATGCCGGAGGGTACTTACCAGTGTCTGCTAACTCTCTCCCCAGGCTGTCCGAGCAGTAGCAGTACCCGGAGACCTCTGGGAATGTCTCCCGCAGGGAGCTGAATGTTTGGAAAGCCCCGGGGAACCTGGAAGGAAAAGGAGCCTCCTGTGAAGAGCCCGAGGAGGGAGGCTCATCGACAAAAACAAAGAAGCATCTGTGCTTCCCTCCCGAATTTGCACAGCAAGGATGTCTGCAGAGCACAAAGCCATTACAAAACCCTTCAGTCTCCTTGTGGCAACCAGGCTCTGACATGATCCAGATCGGTGTTTCAGCAGGCTAACAAGTCTCCTAAATGCCATTTTTTTAAACAAACACAGGACAATCTTCCTTCAGACAGATTTCTGACCTTTCCTAAGCAGATACCCAGCATGTAACACTCATTTTTAATTCTATTCTCATCTTTGAAAGTCTGTCAAAGAGTGTAAAATAGATGGACGTGGGCTTAACGTTACTACAACACCCGTCCATTAGCTCCTTCCACAAATCTGCACAGCATGGCAGAGTGCCTAAACAAACAGGTTGCTTCCTCTTCCCTACATAGTATGTATGCTTTCTGCACTGAATTAAGCACAAAAGCTGATAAAAAACCTCACCAATCTTTTTCATTGTCAGAGCATGGCTCAACAGATTAAGGAGAAAGGTTTTTTAACCTATTGCAAGTAAGATTGACTCTTACTTCTGGAGATCAAAGAGACACCAGTTTCCAGTAGAATATTCCAGGAGTGACAACAGCCAGATTCCAGCAAAGCAATGATTTAGGAAGGAAACTTAAGAAAGTCTGAGTTGGAAAAAACATAATAAATGTGATCTTAACTGACAGACACTCTAGGGTTTCTCCAAGCAAACAGAAGATAAGTTTTTCTAGATTTAAAATGCCAAGTTCCAAAACAATCATATGATTTTACAGACACATACCCTTACCCTGAAATATGATAAAGGTCTGGTGTCCCAGCGGCATATGGCTTATTTGGGAAAATCTAGCAACAGGGAAGTGGAATTTTCTGCTCAAGATATTCAGAGAATTACACAAATTAGGTTTTTACCAAAGAAGGACACTTAGCAACAAGAGTAACCATGTATTAACCTGCTCAACTGGGAAAAAGGTTAACATGCCCAAAGAGTTTACAGAAATCCTGTGAAACTGGGACTGTGACCAGCCTCGATTCCAGGGCTACCCTCTTGCAGCCTCAGGGCTGCTCCAGCATGGGCAGCCAGCAATGTCCCCAGGACACCAGCGAAACACTTGTCTGGCTCAGAGCCAGTGGTCAGGCAAGAAGAGTGGGGTAAGGGGCCTTTGCTAACTTCAAGAGTCTGCCCAAGAGCTCTGTCACCTCTTCCCAGGAGAGCTGAAGACGTCACTGCTTCCTCAGCACATCAAAGCACAAGCTGGGGAACTCACGAAGCAACAGCAGCCCCCGGCAGGGAAGGGGCTGGTAACCTTGGGGTTGTCCCAGCGTCACCCAGCAGTGCTCCTGATTCAGAGCTTGCACATCTCTGCATAGTGCTGCTTCGCTCTGGCGCTCCTCCACATCTTCAAATCAAAAGCCTACTGACTCCCTCCACTTTGGATCATCAAATCCTGCTCCACTGCTGACACTGACACGATAAAAGCAATCAAAATCTCATACTTCAGGGCACAAAGAGACTTCTGCCAGCATTAAAACAGTACAATTTAAGATATAAACACCTAAATACCATCTTTCTACAGTCTTCAACATACACGCAGGCTTAAAGAGTTTGGGGTATTCCAAGAACTTTCTGCTCCCCTGGATTTTGACTCTGTCCCACACAACATGCTTGTCTCTAAATAGGAGAAACATGGATTTGACAGACGGACAATTTGGTGGCTAAGGAATTGGCTGGATGGTCGCACTCAAAGAGTTGTGCTCAATGGCTCAATGTCCAAGTGGAGACCAGTGACAAGTGGTGTTCCTCAGGGGTCAGTACTGGGGCTGGTGTTTAACATCTTCATCAGAGACATGGACAGTGAGATTGAGTGCACCCTCAGCAAGTTTGCTGACAACACCAAGCTGTGTGGTGTGGTTGACACACTGGAGGGAAGGGATGCCATCCAGAGGGACCTTGAAAGGCTGGAGAGGTGGGCCTGTGAGAACCTCATGAAGTTCAACAAGGCCAAGTGCAAGGTCCTGCACGTGGATCGGGACAATCCCAAAAACAAGTACAGACTGGGCAGAGAATGATTGAGAGCAGCACGGAGGAAAACAACTTGAGGGTGTTGGTTGACTAGAAGATCAACATGTGCACTGGCAGCCCAGAAAGCCAACCGTATCCTTGGCTGCATCAAAAGAAGCGTGGCCAGCAGGTCGAGGGAAGTGATTCTGCCTCTCTACTCAGCTCTCGTGAGACCCCAACTGGAATACCGCATCCAGCTCTGGAGTCCCCAACACATGAAGGACATGGACCTGTTGGAGCAGGTCCAGAGAAGGGCACAAAAATTATCCAAGTGCTGGACCACCTCTCCTATGAAGACAGGCTGAGAGAGTTGGAGCTGTTCAGTCTGGAAAAGAGAAGGCTCAAGGGAGATCTTATAGCAGCCTTCCAGTATTTAAAGGGACCTATAGGAAAGCTGGAGAGGGACTTTTTACAGAGGCATATAGCGATAGGACAAGGGGCAATGGCTTTAAACTGAAAGTGGGTAAATTTTGATTAGAAATATAAGGAAAATATTTTTTTACGATGAGGGTGGTGAGGTACTGGAACAGATTGACCAGAGGAGTTCTGGCTGCCTCCTCTCTGGAAGTGTTCAAGGTCAGGCTGGATGAGGCTTTGAGCAACCTAATGTAGTGGAAGGTGTCCCTGCCTATGGCAGGAGGGTTGGAACTAGGTGATCTTTGAGGTCCCTTCCAACTCAAACCATTGTATGATTCTATGATTATCATGCACTGGCCACTGCCCAATCAGGAATATGATCTTTTCTCTTCGTAGGAGAGCAATGCTGCTATATTCAAAGGCAGTCCTCTGTACTGCTCATGTCCTTGGAGCTAATCGCTTCAGTATCTCAACATCTAGCTGAGAGAAACAGGATGCAATGAAAAACTTCTGCATGCTGCTTTCTTTTGTTCTCAATGTTAAGAAGTCACATGCATAATTATACTACTTTTATATAGGGCAGACGTGTAGTCATATCCTGTCATTCTGGTTATTTTTGTTCCAAGTTGAGCGTACAGCTAAATAAAGTACAAACGGATATAAATTAGGCCCACACAAACAAGAGGACAGAACTTTTCTCACCTTACTTGGAAAACTCACTTCCTACCGCTCCTTTTCTTTTCTTTTCTCAGTCTCTTTTTAATTACAGGCCTCAAGATGAGTAGCAATAACACAGAGTACCTCATCTATCCAACCCAGTCCAAAACAATGGCTCAAGCAAAGATGACTATATTTACGTTATGGATAAATTTATAGAGTATCCATGTGTTTCAACAAGAATGCTCACACTCAAAAATATGGAAAAGTAAATCACTGGGAGGTTGTTGATCTTTTCTTCAAACTGTGAGCCTCTACTCTTGGCTTCCAGCAAAGACAACTCATTACTGATCTTCAAAAGTTGGTTTGCAAGTAACCTCTTCTATGTTTCATATGTGCAGCTCCAGTTATGGCTGCCTTTCTCATTGACTATTCAGAAATGGACAAAACCAAATCATGGATTTTCCACTACCCTCGAAATAATACATAACACGGCAGAACCTCTAGTGACCTGGGATAAAGACACTGACACAAGGTCTTCAGTCTGATAAAAATTAAAGCAAGAAAGTAAAAAGATCTTCCTTGACTTTTGATTTTTTGATCATTTCCATCAATCTGCTACAGGGCTTCCTATATGGCTGCCCATCCAAGCAGGACTTGAGCAGTCTCTACAAAATAAGTAACAGCAGCCAAGCCACCAGGGTGAGACAGGAACTTTAGGCTCACCTCTCATCTTCCTATCTTTCTTTCCAAAAGTTTTCCTCTTGGGAAAGTTTTAGCTCTAAGCTTCTGAATTTCTCCTTTTTTTTTTTTTTTTTAAATTTTTGATTTTTTCTGGAA